TGCCAAGAAGGTATTTAAGTTGTGACTAATGGGAGTTTTTTTATTTAAAGCCCAAAAAATATAAATAACAAAAAAAGTTTAGACCCTTTAAACATATCCGTTAAATTATAACTTTTAGCGCTTAACGAACTGTGAAAAAACAGTTTTTAATGGTTTTTCTAGAAATGTTCCTTACACCGCGCCCCGTAAAAATAATGTTAACAAAACCAAAGCTTTAGCATGAAGCCTAATGCCCCGTTTTAAAAAAAATTAAGTATTAAAAACCTCGAAATGGGAAAAATATCAGTTACCTTTAAAAAGTGTCACTATAATTTGTTATAGTTTTGGTTAATAATTTTTAACACTAATGACTACGGGACTTCAAAAAACCCAAAGCCTTCCATTATAAAATCTCCGTATTTAAGGGTAACACCCCACAAAAAAAAAATGAAAATGTTGCAAGATATAAAGGCCCAAAAATAGAATAATCCACTAAGGGCCCCGGTTTCTACTATTGGGACATCCCACCCCAAAAAGATGCCCCAGTAAAAAACCCCTTCTTTAAAACCTCACAATTCGGGAGCCAAGGGGGTTTAATTGGGGTTTGGTTTTCTCCTTTGGTTCCCAGAGTGGAGACTGGGCTTTTTTAAAAATTTTAATAATACCCATTTTAAAAAGATTCATGGATCGTACGATTTTGAACCCCCTGCCTTTAGTCCCAAAACGCAAACCAAATAAATCTAGCTAAAACACGCTGGCTAAAAACCCCCTTAAAAGGGGTTAAAAAAACTGAATGTTAGTTGTAGGACAAATTTTCCATTGGTTCGAATCCTGTCTATTTCGTGGTGGGTGAGATTTCTGTTCTGAAAAAAAAAAAACCCCAAATTTAATACAAAGACCCTTAAAATTAAAACCGGGGCGACGGGGTGCTTTTAAAAAAAGGGAATGCCCTTGTAAATTTTTCTAATCTTCCCTCAAAACAATAGGGATGTTTACCACCTCCTTTAGTTCCAAGTTTAGTGTTTAAGGACTCAGTAGCCGAAATTTTCCCAAGCGAGGGATGTAAATAGGCCGGACCCATAGTGAAAATTAAAGTCTGTTATGGGAAAGATGTATTTTTTCTTTAAAGTTTTCCCTTACAAAAAAAAAAAAAAGTAAAAATGTGGGTCATTTGGAGAAATAATACCTCCTAACAGAAAAAAAAAAATAGAAAATTTTTTATTCCCACTAGTCAATTTTAATTTTTTCCCAAATTTTCCCCTTTAAAATTTGTTTTCCCGGCCCAAGGGAGTGTCCTCACTGGGTTTCCCGGTACACCCCCAACGCTGGGGGTTTTTTTCATCCGTTTCCTAATACCGCTGCCCTCTGGTTTAAGCTATGTCGAGGTACCTGTGCGAATATTTTTAAACCTTCACCTGAACTGCATAGTAATTAATACTCAAAAATTTTTTAAATTAATTTTAAACAAATTTAAAATTTATCATAAAGGAAGGGGATATATTAAAAATCCCATTTTAACTATCTTCCGACAATGAATTTTTTTGATTAATTTATAATTTTAAAAAATCTTATTTTAAAATTTTTTATAAACTTTTAACGAAAAAATAGACATATTTTATAAAATTCCCCTTTAAGTAATGAAAAATAAAAATTGAAAATTTAAATAGACAGAAACCCGACTTTCTTTTGGGACATCCCAGGCAGACAATACAGAGATTTTTTCCCGAAACCAACGTTGGGGGGCGGGACTGGTTTCCCGCCAAAAAAAAAAACCACCCCCTTCTCACCACCAGCAAACAATAGCGGGGCAGTACACGTGTCTTAAGGGGGGGCGAAAACGATGCGGGGTATACCATTAAAAAAAAAAGTTTTTTATCCACATAAAATGCATTCAAGCCCTTCAACAGCAATTTTCAGGAGAAAATACGAAGTTCTTTAAAATGTACTGAGTTTTTTTTATAAAAGGTTTTCCCGCGGTCACTTGGGTTTTTGCACCACTTTTGGTAAGGGAAACCCGAGTTATTGACACAGCCTGGTACTCTTTGGTTGCAGGGGCCCCCGTCAGTCCTTTACCCGCTTTTAACTGTTTTCCCGATTTAGGGGCATTCATGTTGTCTTGGGAAACCGGTCTGACAGACTCGTTTCAGAGGAGTCCAGGGTGGAAGTAAAATTTGTTCTCCGAGGGGTAAAGATAAAAAGCCCCTTTAAAAATCGGACTTAGTACCATTAAAATAGGCATCTGAAAATTGTTTTTGCTAAGTAAAGGATGAAAAAGCTTTTAAAACGAGATTTAAATATACACTGAAAAAATGCATGCATAAGCCCCTTTTAAAATTTTTTCTTATTTTGGGGTAAATAACGTACTTGCCCCTATCTTAAAGAAAAAAGAACGAAACCCCCTAGTAAAATTTACAGCTTTAATATTCCCAAAGAGTTTTAAAAGCCCCAAAAATCTAAGAAAATCCTAGATTATTCCCAAAGACCTTTTTTTCAAAAAAGATGGGAAAAAGGGCCTCGTTGATGCTGGAAATGTGACGGGTACACAAATAAAAATAAAAATTTTATCCATCTTTCAATCCTTTTAACTGAAGGGAACGACTACCTTTAAAAAGCTCCATAGTTTTCCCTGAGGGGGTAAACATTCTCTTGATGAGTTGAGGTTGGCAATGCAGACTCCCCTGGGACGTACTCTTCCTCGTTTTTTAAGTAGGGATTCAACCCCCTTTTCAAAGTTTAGGGTAATGACCTGGTAGGATAAAAAAATTTAAAAGTAAATTTTTAAAAAAATTTAAAAAACCCTTAATTTTTTAAAAAAAGATTGATTTCTGACATTGGTAATAGTTAAATAAAAAATTATATTCGATGCTTTTTTTCAAATTTTTTTGGGAATTTTTTTGACTTTTGGACAACATATATAATTTTTATGCTTTTTTTGAATTTGTAATTTTTTTTATTTTTGGGTCTAAACAATAAAAAGTTTTTTGGGAAAAGAAATTTCTTTCTGTTTTCAAAGGGGTGCATTAGTCAGGTAAGGGAAGTTCTGGGGTTGGGGTTTGGAAACAAGTAGAGCAGTTTGGAAAACCAGCCCATCTTTCACTTGGATAGATTTAAAAAATGGGGGGTACTTTTTGGTTTTTGTAAATGATTCAATCTACTTAGTGTCTGGTTTAAAATGGGAACAATTTTGGGAAAAATTTCGGGTTAAATTTTTAAAACCTTAGAATTTTAAAAAAATCCCTTTTTTTAAACTTAAAAAAAAAATGTTAAAACCCCCGTGGGGGATTTTTACTTTTTTCTTTAAAAAAAAAATTCCTGTTTTAAATTTTAAAACATAACAATTTGGGTATTCCTGCATAGTTTTTAAAATAATTTTGGGGGTTAAAAAAATTTTTAAATAAGCCTCTGGCTGGCACCCTTTAGTGGACAGAATTTGAGGGATTTTCTTCCCCCCAAAAAAGATGCATAGAGTCTTTACTTAAGTCCACAAAGGAAAAATACATTTAGGGGGTATTACTATTAAATTTTTAGTATTATTATTATTAATTTTTAAACATTAATTTTTATTTTTAAGGAATTAAATTTATAAAACCCGTAAAGGGGGTTTTAGAGCGCTGCAAATTTCATCATGATAATATATTTTTTGTGTTTAATACGCTGTATTTTAGTTTAAAAAAACCCCTAAGTGGGCTCACTGTCGTCAAACCACACATGTGCTGTTAAGGTTTTTGGCTTGAGTTTCAACAAGCCCCCATTTTTGATAAAAATTTTAAATTTTTTCATTTAAAAACCCCTCAAATTTTTTTTTTAGTCTAAACGTTTTTAATTTGATTAAAATGACTAAAATTGCATCTTTATTTTTTAACTAAAAAATTTTTTTAAATTTTCCCTTTTGATTTGTTTTCGCATTTTAAATTGGTGTTTTAATAACAAAACCCCCAATTTGAGTAATTATAGGGTTTAAAAAAAAAGAAGTGGAGTTTAGTTTATTTTGGGAAAATTGATTTTTCAGATGATATAAAAAACAATAGCCTTGTAGAGCAATACATTTCTTGTTTTTTTGTGTTATTTTTAAGTATCTTTTTTTCTTTTTATTTGGAACTTTAAATGCCCAAAGTTTTTCTTTTCTAACAAAAATTTAAAACGTGAACATATTTTTTTTTACAGATAAATTCCCAAAAAACAAATTATTAAAAAAACTGAAAAAAATGTCTTTTTCATTAAAAAAAAAATAACAAAAATAAGGATA